TGAATGTCTGGAGGTGTAGGCACCTCGGAATGATTGTGTTAAGCTAGCACTAAGTCCCTCCCCCATCCACCTTTATTCTTTTCTTTACAATAAGGCTTTCAAATAAGTCATGGCTGTACGGCAGTGAAGCATTGGTGTTGAGCACTGATGTCATGCTGTCGTTGATGATGATGGTGATGTTCGGAGGTGTTAGAATGATGCAGTCGGTCATCTTGTCTGCAGTTCATGGTCTTGAGATGGGATGTGCAAGTGCGTGCAGAAGGGACGAAAAGATAGAGGCTTGAACGTGGAGCCACCCGTTTGCCCGCCGGGTGTTGCAGTCACGATGGGCCCACCAGGACATCATAAACGAGAGATCCGATCGAGTCTCTCGTGAAAACCAATTTGATTTTCAAATGAGTGTATTTCTCGAGAACGGTCCAATTTGGGTTCAAGTAGATCACAAGGTTGACGGAAACTCGGGGACTGCGCCTACCTGATGAGCCCCAAGAAGTGCGAAACCGGTCGTAGGCTGTCGAAGAGTTTTCAGCAACCGTGTGAGTAGTTTCCTTTATGATAACACTTCACTAAATCCACGAGATCCCGCCTACATAAAGGCTCTGAACATGCGTAATCTGTGCCAGATAAATGCCAGCTAAGTGGTGCTTGCCCTGATCTTATACTCCACTGAAATTGATAAATGCGCTCCAAGGGAATGTAATTCTGGGAATGAGGAAGAAAGTTCCCGTGGAGATTTATTTCGGATCATTCGTTAAACAAGAAGCACTGATACTCATCCTTTCTGGTGATATGAATACCGAAATCGGTCGTCTGAGTTTGGAATCACATCTGGGGGTAGGGTCGATTTAGAGTGGGTGCTTGTTCCACAGACAACGGACGGCGACCCCTATAATCGTGACTTTACCATTAACTGTTTCTGGCCAATAAAAATTTTCAACACACGTTCGCATCGCATAATCTGACAGCCACCAAATGCAACTCAACTTGGGACCCAGTTAGATCACTTAGGTGTCAGCCACTAGTGGAGAGCCACAATTCAAGACTGTCGTTCTTTTTTGGGCGCACAATTTGACTCCGATCATGTCATGTTGCGCGCATGCCTGTCAGTTTGCCTTCTTTCAGGCCCTTGCAAATCAGGGAGAAGCGTGCTACTCCACCATCTTCGGTAAACTACCACAGCTCAGGAGTACTGACTTGAAAGAGCTCCATTACTCTACAGTAAACCAACACTGTACTGATAGTGAACACGTGGGTGGGGCATGGTAGCATGTGAAAGATGTTAGTGGCGTTTAGCGCCGTCTGTCCGGCATCTCCAATACGATTAGATAATATCGTTGAGTTCCGTAGTCATGATTGACGTCAGGGAATTCATACCAACAGGCAATGAGTACGACGACGCACGCACATCCCTTAAACGTCAAATAGTGGAAAGTATTA